GGCTTGCCAGCCCATTAAAGCCAACACTCTGGGGGCTAGGCTTGCCAGTCTACCGAATCACAACACTCTCAGGACTTGGCTTGCCAGCCCATTAGACCTGACACTTCCAGGGCTAGGTTTACCAGCCCTTCGAGGACTGTCTCTGGGGCTTGGCTGGCGCACCCATTGAGCTGACACTCTCTAAGTCCAGGCAGACTTGAAAAATCTGCATCAAAGACATTATGCTGATTGGGCACAGTGGCTCACACCGGTAATCCTAGCATTTTGGAAGGACAAGGTGGAAAGACTTCTTGAGTCCAACAGTTTGAGACCAGCCTAGGCAACATAGCCAGACTGCAGCTCTACAAAAAAGTTTAAAAATTAGCCAGGTATGGAGGCACATACCTGTAGTTGCAGCTACTTGGGAAGCTGAGACCGAAGGATCACCTAAACCCAGGAAGACATGCTAAGTGAAATAAGCCAAACACAAACGACTTATGTTATTTGATTTTATTCATATGAGACACCCACAATAAGCAAATTCATAGAGATAGACAGTAGAATCTAGGTTACCAGGACGAGGGAGGAGAGAGGGGAAGTTACTGTTCAATGGGCAAAGAGCTTCTGTTTGGGATGATGAAAAAGTCCTAGGAACAAATAGTGATGATGGCACCACTATTCAATGTGAATGTATTTAATGCCATTGTACACTAAAAAATGGACAAAATGGTAAGTTATATGTTATACATAATTTATAAAATTTTTAAAATTAAAATATCATACCATGTGAATTGTACCTCATAAAGTTGATTGGTAAGGATTATAAAATTTGATAAATATTCTCCACTGAAAGTTCTAACAGAAGAGCATTTTTAAGCACATTGACTGGGAATGTATGTTGATACGATGTTTTTCAAGAGCTTTTCAGCAATTTAGCAGAAGTCACTAAAACATGTATTGCCTTCTACCCATTTGTTCTAATTTCATGAATCTATCCTACAGGAAGAAAGAAAAAAGCAGTCACAAAGACTTAAGCACAAAAAAGTCCATCAAAATACTATTTACAGTACAATACTACCCAAAAAAATTTTTTAAGTAATCAGATATTTGCAACATAGAAAATAAGCATACCTTAAAAACATATCCTAGAAAAATTATTAATGACATTTAAAAAATACATATATTAGGATGGACGTAGAGGCTCATGCCTATAATGCCAGGACTTCGGGAGGCAGAGGCAGAAGGATTACTTGAGCCCAGAGGAGTTCCAGACCAGCCTGGGCAACATAGCGAGACCTCATCTCTACTTTAAAAGAAATACACACATACATACATACATACACACATATATACTACCGGGGGAAGAATCCTACTAAAAGCATATAATGTGATTCTAACTTTTTTTTTTTATTTTAAAGATGTAGAGTACAATTCAGGGTTAGGTATACAAGTGTTTATTATGCAGGAACCCTTGTTGATGAGGTGTGCCCTACCTCCCCTGGCAGTTTCCCACTACTGCCAATCCCGCCCTCACCTTTCCCTGGCAGTTTCCCACTATTGCCAATCCGTTTCTTATAGTATTATGATAATTGTTCAAGGTCCACTTATGAGTGAGAACATGTGGAGGTACTTAGTTCTTTGTTTCTTTGATAGATCACTCAGTATTATAGACTCTAAGTCCATCCAAGTTTCTGCAAAATTCATAATTATGTCTTTCTTTATGGCTGTGTAAAATTCCATTGTGTATATGTACCACATTTTTTTTATCCAGTCCTCTTTTGATGGGCAGTACGGTTGGTTCCATGTTCTTGCTATTGTGAAAAATACTGCAATAAACTTGCGTGTGTAGGTATCTTTTTCATAGAGTGATTTGAGTTCCTCCGGGTATATTCCCAGAAAGGGGATTTCAGGGTCATATGGAAGGTCAATTTTTAGATCTTTTAGAATCACCAAACTGTTTTCCATAGAGGTTGTACTAGTTTACACTTCCACCAACAGGGTAGAAGTGTTCCCTTTTTACCACATCCTCTCCAGCATCTGTTGTTTTTTGAGTTATTTGTGAATGGACATCCTGACTGGAGTTAGGTGGTATCTCAGTGTGGTTTTAATTTGCATTTCTTTGATGGCTAGTGAGGCTGAGCATTTTTTCATGTATCTGTTGGCTGCTCCTATGTCTTCTTTTAAAAAGTATCTATTCGTATCTTTTGCCCACTTTGTTATGGGGCTATTTATTTTTTTCTTTTCAACATGTTTCAGTTCCTTGTAGATCCTAGATGTTAGGCCTTTGTCAGATATAGAGTAGGCAAATACTTTTTCCCAGTGGGCTGTCCCCCAGCTCTTTTGATGGCTTCTTTGGCTTTGCAGAAACTTTTTAGTTTGATGGGGTCCCAATTGTCTTATGACATGGGCACTTGGGGTTTTGGTCAGGAATTGGTTGCCAATTCCAATTTCTATATGGGTTTTGACTACATTTTCTAAGGTTCTTATAGTTTGAGGTTTTATGTTTAGGGTTTTGATCCATTTAGAGTTGATTTTTGTGTATGGTGGTAGGTAGGGGTCGTTTTAATCTTCTGCATATAGTTAGCCAGTTTTCCCAGCACCATGTGTTTTTTTATCATGCAGAACAAAGCTAAGGTATAAATATATCTACTTCAACAGTAATTATCCCCAGGACCTACATCCTATGTTATTGCATACAACCTCAGGTCAGAAAAGGCTCACTGGAGGAAGTGGCATTCAAAGGGAAAAACAGAACAAAAGGCTTCCAGTAGGGGACTTATCTACCCTACTGTTTGTCATTATACTCAAAAATTGTTTTACAATTAAACTTCAATTTTAAAAAGTGAAAAAAAGGAAGCAACTGTGGATTTTGGTATCCTGGGGGGAACTGGAACCAAACCTGGAACAGAGAGGGAAGGCTGTACTTGGAAAGGATTAAGAATGTCTGTCTTAAAATATCAGCGGGGCAGCCTGTAATCCCAGCACTTTGGGAGGCCGAGGTGAGTGGATTGCCTGAGCCTGCGGATTTGAGACCAGCCCAGGCAACTTGGTGAGACCTCATCTCTACAATAAATCAAAAAAATTACCTGGGCATGGTAGCGCACACCTGTAGTTCCAGCTACTTGGAAGGCTGCGGTGGATGGATTGCCAGAGCCCAGCAGGTCAACGCTGGGGTGGCCATGAGCGTGCCACTGCACTCCAGCATGGGCAACAGAGTGAGACTCCGACTCATAAAAATATATATATATCAGCAGGAGGCACCCTATTCAAGGACATAAGTTTTAAATAAAACATTTAAATAAGTATTACATTGAGTTTTTCTTTTGTTTTGTTTTTGACTCAGAGTCTCACTCTGTCGCCCGAGCTGGAGTGCAATGGCACGCTCATAGCCACCACTGCCCCCACCTGCTGGGCTTAGGAGATCCGCCTCAGCCTTTCAAATAGCTGGAAGGAATTACAGACACACACCACCACGACCGGCTAACTTTTGTGATTTATTGTAAGATGGGATCTCACCATGTTATCCACGCTATTCTTGAAACTTCAGGCTCAGGCAATCCTCTCGCGTTGACCTCCCAAAGTGCTGGGATTATAAACTGAGCCACCATGCTCGTCCTACACTGGTTCATTTTTAATGGGCACACTATAAACCTTTTCAAGTATTAACTGTACAACCATTACCTAAAATCCAGTTTTGTATGTATTGCCAGATTTTACTTTGGAAGAGTAGCACTAGAAGATGCATAAGTATAATTATCCAAAAAAGCATTTTGTAAATGCCTATTTTTTCCCCCATGTTTCACAAGCATAGATGTATAATTATTATATCACCACCAAAATTCACAAAATCCCTTCACCTCCATTTTTTCATGTGCTTCTTTTAACAATCATATGAAATAAGCAAACTTGGTGATAATAACCACAACTTCCACATTCACAGTACAAGCACCCACTAAGAATCAAGCACTATACAAGGCATTTCACATATTTATCCCATTCAAAGTTGAATTATTACCAAAAATCTATGAAGTAGTTACACTATCCCCATTTTATAGATGAGAAAACTGAGGCTCAGCAACTAAAGCAACTAGTCCACAGGGCAGATCTTTAATCCACACCCAGATCTGTCTGAATCCTGAACCATTTCCTTATCCCACTTAGACATCTCAGGAAGCAGAGACTTATGGGCAAGACAATCATTTGGCCAAGACTTATGGGCAACCAAAGTCCAAAACTTTCTAACACTTGATGTAATGTGGTTGTTACCTGGCATGCTGCTTCTATAGAAAGCAAGTACACTTCCTTCCATTAGGAGTTTATAAACCATAATACCTCTAGAAAATAACATCAAAGGGAAACTATGTGCTACATGAGGGAAAGATACAGGTGGCAAATGGAAAACTTCAAGAAAGTATAAATAAATTAAAACACAGGGATCAGAGTTAAAATGGGCTTTTTCTGAGTCAGAGTATCATTCTGTCGCCCAGGCTGGAGTGCAGTAGCAAGCTCACGGTCACCTCAGCCTCAACCTGCTGGGCTCAGACGATCGTTCCACCTTAGCCTTCCAAGTAGCTGGAACCACAGGCGCGTGCCACCATGCCCAGCTTATTTTTTGATTCATTGTAGAGACGAGGTCTCACCAAGTTACCCAGGCTGGTCTCAAACCCCTGGACTCAGGTAAGTCTCTCACCTAGGCCTCCCAAAGTGCTGGGATTACAGGTTTGAGCCACCACATCCAGTCTGAGTTAAAGTATTTTATAATGAATACTCAAAAGTGTAACAATCAATAAAGTTTCCAGAATTAACCTAGATAATCCCAGAATTGTATTAGGATAAGAGACTTTTTAAATCTTTTTAAATTTACAATTGGGACGCCAATAGAAATTGCCTATGAATCAGAGTCATTATTACTTCAGAATAATCTATAATTAGTTAGGATCCTATGCTTTTGATAAATAGGTATACTATAATTATTTAATAAAACCATGAAGAATAATTTTTTAAATATAAATGTTACTTACATATCCCAATTTGGAGCTATTCGCAAATGCTGAATTAGCAATTGGAACTAGAATAAAAAATTAAGATGTACGTTTAATCTACAGAAAATGACAGCTAAGTTAACATATTAGAACTTTATACAAAGAAAATGTACATTGCACATCAAAAAATATTATTTACTGACTTGTAAACGCACTAGTATATGAATAAGATTAAAATTAGAGCTAAGAACAGTACTTTTAATTTCTCTTACCACTTCATATTCCCTAAATGTCCACTCCTATCCAATAGACACACACTAACTACCAAAAAAGTAACCTTAATACTATCCTAAAAGTAAGTGAACTTAAATATTTTCAAGCCACTTTCCCAAATGAGGATCCACTATAGAAAACATTTCCAAACCACTGTCATTTCTTTCTGGTAAATTCCCATAAGCTTATAAACGAACCAACACATTCCAAAAAGTAACATTCCCAGTGGAGGGAGGGGGAAAAATGTCTTAAGAGACTCACTGGCTCCCTTCAATGTCACATTAGAAACCTTGCAGTTTACCAGGATGACCCAGTAAAGGGGCTCCCTATTCTACATGGTAGTTTACTCCAGTTACTGATGAGAAGGTCTGTCTTATGATTTCAGATATTTTAAAAATCTTACAATTATTACAAGATAACATAAAATGGAAGCCTGAGTATTATTCAAAAAAAGTTCAAAATCACCACCTACTCTCAAATGCTTTCAGACCTACGGTCAAACAGAGGATTATTTTCATAAATCTAAATCCTTGATAAACCACTTTTTTCGTTATAATTAAGTAAAATTAATATTCTAGCACTAATTTTAGAAACACAAAAGTTAAAGTATAGGCCTGTCACAGACCTACCAGAGGGGAATGGAGGAGCCTGGTGGCCACCTCCTGGTGACCAGCTGCCACACATAAATAGCAAAGGAGATTCAGCTTGGCTCGGGAAGCCCCCATGCTCTTCTCAGTGGAGTCAATCTGTGAGCACACTTGCTGCAAAAAGTCATTCCAATCTTGGTCTTTCAGAAACAATAACTTATCCACTGCAGAGGGAAGAAAATAATAAAAGTATGTATGATCTGGAAAATAACTGATGGAAACATTATATGAGAAATAAAATACACAAAAAAATTTGATAGCTAAGAAAAGCAGTAACTAAGGAAAGCAGTAACATTACATGGTCAAAACAAAAAACACTCCAAAGATGACATGATTTTTATTTGTCCTTCCATATTCCTCATCTCTTTTTCCACTCATAGAAAGTATTTTTTAAATTTGTTGTTTTTGTTTTTTTAATTTTAAAGATGTGGGGTATAACTCAGGATTCGGTACATAAGTGGTTATCGTACAGGTGAAGCCTGGGTCTCCCACTGATCCCTTACATCACCTGGTTTGGGATCAGGTATGTTATTGATGCTATGTGCTCTCCCCCTCTCCCTTGGCAATGTCCCACTACTGCCAATTCCTTTCTTGTAGTATTATAATAAATGCCTACCCATGGAAACTTTTAAACTATTTCAATGGAAGGCAGATGCCTAAAGAATTATCCCACAACCTCAAATATAACAAAACACAAAGTTACATAAAATTAAGGCACAAGAAAACCTTTTTGTATAAATAAATCAACCCAACTCCGAAACACTGAGAAAGGCACAAATTCCACTGTTCTTAAAGAGTTCCAATAAAATTACTGTTAAACATAGCAAGGTCAACATGACAGCTGAAATCATGGAATTCCTACCTCCAAATCCCTGTACATACCAAAGGCAAAAGCTAGAAAGTGAGATGCCACTTATAATTAATATATTTTTAGATGACCTCTATCTTTAAACAAAATTAATTTTAAATATAATTTCCTAAATAACTCAAAGAAGAAAAGAAACAGACTATTATTCCCAGATAATAATTCTCTAGGTTTTCATAAATAATGGTTCTACTTGGCACTGAAAGTACTATTAACATTTTACTTCACTTTGGCCTTTCAAGACTGTCCTTCTAAACTGTTTCTTTTTTGTTCTTGTCTGTAATTAAACTGACCAATATAAACTATTAATTGATTTATTTAAATCTGAATTTATTTATTTTTATTTATTTTTATTTTTTTAGAGGCAAGGTCTTGCTATGTTGCCCAGGCTGGTCTCAAATTGGGCTCAAGCAATCCTCCCACCTCAGCTTCCCAAAGTGCTGAGATTACAGGTGTGAGCCACCACATCAGCTGTATTTTATTTTAAATTTACCTCAAATCATAGAATCTACTCTAGCCATGATGAAGAATTTTCTCCAAATTTAGCACAACAGCTTAAAATACAACTTTTCAAACAAAATAAACCAATTTAAGGTAGGTAAAAATTTCTGAATAAGACTTTCATTAGCTGAACAGAAATGTAATAACCATCCCTTAAGTATCTCCATTTTCGACACCACCCTCATAAAAGTGAACTATATAGTTCTGTTTTCAACTGCCCTGGTTCCTCAAATAGAATCACAATTCTCACTGTTGTCCTCGACCCATACCAGCACCATAAATGGTAGAAATTTGCCAGGTGCGGTGGCTGACACCTGTAAACCCACCACTTTGAGAGGCCAAGGAGAGAGGACTGCCTGAACCCAGGAGTTCAAGCCTGGGCCACATAGTGAGACCTCATCTCTACAAAAAATCAAAAAATTAGCCATGAGTGGGGGTACACACCTGTAGTCCAAGTTACTTGGGAAACTGAGGTAAAGGATCGCCTGAGCCGAGCAGGTCGAGGTAGCAGTTAAAGCTACAGCAGCCATGATAATGCCACTGCACCCCAGTCTGGGTGACTGAGTGAGACTCTAACTCAAATAAATAAATAAATAAATATTTGGTGGAAATTCAACCAGCTCTACAAGAGGAAGGGCAGAAGACCCTCCCCACCCAGCTACAGGCAAACTTGCCCAGTTCTACAGGAACAAGTCTACCAACAGGAGTACAGAGCAGCCCAGACTCAGCTGAGCAATGTCAACAGCTGGCCACAAATGGATTACAGATTGTTTATAATTTGCATAACACTACCCCAAGAATACAACCAATTGTCAAGAAAATATAAATGTAGTTATACATATATAAATATTCTACGTACAAATAAATTTCATATTTGTACTGCACACAAAACGTCTGCATGTTTGATAAGCACTTTATGATCCTACCTGAATTTGCTGGTAGATGCAATATTTTGGGGTCAAATTTAATTGGTGGCTGTTTCATTATCTGTGGTTAAAAAAAAATGTAAGATGTCTTTTGAGATGGATATCTGTTTCTTTATATGTTCTTTATATCAGATTATAATAATGAGAAAAAAGGATGTTATACAACTTAATTGTCACCAAAAATAACAAGAATTCAACAGTGCCCTTTCAGATTAAAGTACACAAATATAGAAAACTACTTTTAAAAATCATTTCAATTGATATCAGCAATAAAGTAAAGCTTCATAAGGAACAATTCAACCTATCTTGGCTCACTCTTTAGCTAATTTACCTCTAGGTTAAAAATTCAATCATGTGACAAATATTTATTTGGTACTTGCCAGGGTGAGGCACTATGCTAACCACTAACAGGAATACAAAGATATGAAATGACACCATCCTATTTTCAGAGAGCTGACATTCTAGTTCTGGGAAGATGAGACAAACATTTGTTAAAGTACAATAAAACAAAATATTCAAAAATGTCAAACAGGCAGTATACAGTGTACAATACAATACGCAAAACATTTCACAGAAAGAAATTTTTTTTAAATAGTAGAGAATACTATTGTTGGTGTGGTTAGAACAGGGTTTATGGAAGAGGTGGAAGACGAGTTGAAGTCTTGGAGTATGGCTAAGACTTGATAGCTGTATGAGAAAAGACACCATTCCAGGAATCTAGAACAGCATTAATGGGAAAGTGTACAATTACTTGAGATACAGTTGGATCCATGAGTTTGGAACAGTCAGATACTTCATCTTGAGGCTTTAATTAAAACCTTTAATGGTACAGTGAGTTTACTATATTTACTATAGTATTCTTGCTAAAAATATATATTCGCATTCAAATCTCAATTCAAAATCTTAATCTACTCATGAGAAATTATTATACAAGCCCAAATTAAGGGACAATCTACAAAATACCTGACCAGCTACTCTTCAAATGCTGTCTATATGGGAAATAAACGTGAATCCAAGAACCCATATGGTCTAAACCATAGTAATGCTCCCAATGAGATAAGAGGAAACAGTTATGTATTAATACAGAAAAAGACATTTTTTAACAAGTAGGAAAATTAATACAGAGAATAGGTAGTAGAATAAGAGTATGCTGAGTATGTTAGAAGTCGAGAGAAAACAGAGGGACTTAGATTTTTTTTTTTTTTTTTTTTTTTTTGAGCCCAGGTTGGAGTACAGTGGCACACTCACAGCCACCCTAGCGTCAACCTGCTGGGCTCTAGCGATCCTTCTACCTCAGCCTTCCAAATAGCCAGAACTGCAGGTGCACGCTACCACACCCGGTTAATTTTTTGATTTAGTGTAGAGATGAGGTCTCACCAAGTTGACCAGACTGTTCTTAAACCCATGGGCTCAGGCAATCCCCTCACCTCGGCCTCCCAAAGTGCTAGAATTACTGGCTTGAGACACCGTGCCCAGCCTACACATTTTTTTTAAAGTAGATATTCATCATCCCCTAGTAATAAAGTATTATATTCCAAAAAACATGAAGCAACAAAACACACTGGGTTAGAAGTACATTGTAAGCCACAACTCCCAAGCTCCACAGTGTCTCCCACCATCTCCCCTGTACTCTTAATAAACTATGAGAGAGTGGGGCTTCTGTGTGATCTTCCCAGGTCAGCCTAGTGAGCATTGCTTCTTGATGACTGCCTTCATAATATATCAGAGACAAGACTATTTGGAGTAAGTCACATAAGTATGTACGGAAAAATGTAGGGACTAAGAACCAAGGTCTGAGGTTGAGAAATCAGCAGCCACTTCTTAGCACATGAAGAGTGTGGTAGGTAATGAAAGGTAAAGTTGACACACTAAAAAATAGGAGAGAAAACTCAGCACTCCATGAAGTGGAGTGAAGCCAAGGGAGAAGGTTGTACACAGGATTGAGGTTGGAAATGTAGACATGTGATATGAATGAAATAGAAGCAGGCAGCAAGAGAAACAGGAAAGATAACAAGGCAAAGAATATTCTGAATGAAATATTCTTTAATTTCAGACCTCAGTAAAGTCTAAAACACAGTGGCTATGGTATCTTTCCACACCTTTGGATTGTCGATAATTGGGGTGATGACAAGATCTGAGTCTGTGTAGATAAGCTCTTGCATCTTGGATTCCAGGTCCTGCTGACTCAGGTGTCTACCTGTAATCTGAAAAAAAGATCAAAAATTAGACTTTGTTTCTGTGACTAATGAAGAGCTTTAGAAGACTGAGTTAATAAGATGCTGAAGAAGACATGACTGCAAAAGGTCACCTATATCAGTGTACTTCAATTACTATTCAAAACTCTTTCACAGTCCCACTGATCTTCAATATCCTAAACTGTATATATAATCATTCCCATTTTACAGATAAAAAAACAAAACTCAGAGAAAGTGAATTGCTCATGTTTATTACTAAGGCTGGTTAGGGTTAGAAAACAAATCTTTATTGTTTGATGTTCTAATACTGTGATGAGGTGAATTGGTTTTTCAATTGCTAGTATGGCTTTTACTTTTCATTCACAGAACACCAATCAATTTATTTCTGCTTTACAGAATATTCCATATGAAGTTAAAACTGAATATTCCATATGAAGAAAAAATTTCAGACTGAAGTGCTGACCACCTGCTACCTAAGTGTTAAACACCTATATATTTAATAAACATAGTTAAACTCAAGTTGATATATAATAAAATGAATAGCTGGACATTCACCATCAGTTATTCCTTTGAGATGTTTCTCTGTGTTCTACTTAAATCAAACTTTTATCTTAGTGTTATGTCTCAGTATTTCACATTTTAAAAAACAAGATTTATGCATTAAGAACTTTTTGGTTTTTTGGAGACAGGGTCTCATTCTATCACTCAGGCTGCAGTGCAATGGTGCAGTCATGACTTACTGCAGCCTTGCACTCTCGGGCTCAAGCAATCCTCTTACCTCACCACTTCCCCTCTCCCACTGACCCCAATAGCTAGGACAACAGGTATATACCATCATGCCCAGCTTTTTTTTTTCCTTTTTTGGTAGAGATGGGTTTTACTACATTACCCAGGCTGGTCTCAAACTCCTGGCCTCAAATGATCCTCCCACCTCAGCCTCCCAAAGTGCTGAGATTACAGGTATGAGCCACTGTACCTGAAACAATGACTAGCAAACTAAATAAAACAGAAAACTTGATTACTGAAGTAAAAAATAAGGAAAAGAAATCATCTAAAACTGAGGGAAGGAGGGGCATGGATAAAGTAACAGAAGAGTTAGCTAATATGTTCATGGACACCAAGACTGTCCCTTGCAATTAAACAAAAGACATAAACACACACACACACACACACACACACACACAAAGTAAGTAGAAACTTTGTTGTTGTTTTTTTTTTAAAAAAAGACTCATACCTATAATACCAGCACTTTGGGAGACCATGGCAAGAAGACTGCCTGAGCCCAGGAGCTCGAGACCTAACTGAGCAATATGGCAAGAACTCATCTCTATAATAAAGAAAGAAAATTCATGGAGCATGGAGACACATGCCTGTAGTCCCAGCTACTTAGAAGGCTGAGGTGGAAGGATTGCCTGAGCCCAGCAGGTCAAGGCTGCACTCCAGCCTGGACAACAGAGTAAGATCCTGACTCAATAAAAAAAGTTCTAAATTTAAGAACATGAACTTTCAAAATAGAAAGACTAGGGTAGACTTACATTGCCACTTGTTAACTATGTGACCCTCAGAAAGTTTTTTTTAAAAACTTCATTTTCTTTATCTGTAATAAAGATAAAACCAACAAACTTTCAGGATTGTGATGAATAAACATGGAGCACTTAAAACAATCCCTGGACCAGGTGCAGTGGTTCAAGCCTGCAATCCCAGCACTTTGGGAGGCCAAGGCGAGAGGACTGCCTAAGTCCAGGAGTTCAAGACCAGCCAGGGCAACTAGATGAGACCTCGTCTCTACATTAAATCAAAAAATTAGCCAGGCATGGTGGCACTTGCCAGTAGTCCCAGCTACTTGGAAGGCTGAGGCAGAAGGATTGCCTAAACCCAGCAGGTCGAGGCTGTGGTGGCCATGAGTGTTCCTGAGTGTGCCTCTGCACTCTAGCCTGGGCGACAGAGTGAGACTCCGACTCAAAAAAAACCACAAAGCCTGGCACTGCTCAATAGAAGACAGGTGTAGTTAACAAAGTCATTTAAATATATACACATGTCACACTGGCTTCACTAGAGAATGGATTGGAGGAATGCAATGGTGAACTGGGAAGGCTGGCTAGTAGGCTACTGTAGTAGCCTGGATGGAAAGGTTGGGCGAGGGAGGGGAACAGAAGGAGAGAAGTCAATAACAGAGCAAAGGGGACAACTCCCTTAGGTCTCCTCCTGCTCTGGGAGCTTTTCTGTCCTCTCAATAAATACTGCTTTCTAAAAAAAACAGAGCAAAGGGCTAGATATCCCTGCTGATTTAATACTGTGCAGGAACTGCTAGTAAATAATCTTGGTGCAAAGACTAAAAGACATTGGTATTTGAAATAGAAGACCAAATTATCTCTAAGTGTAGATGACATAACTGAACATCCAGAAAGCCAAAATTAATGAACTGAAAAATTATTCGAAATAATATAGGCCTGACTCGGTGGCTCAGTCTGTAATCCTAGCACTTTGGGAGGCTGAGGCAAGTGGATTGCCTGAGTCCAAGAATTCAAGACCAGCCCAGGCAACTTGGCAAGACCATGTCTCTAAAATAAATTTTTAAAAATTGGCCAGGCGTGGTAGCACACGCCTGTAGTTCCAGCTACTTGAAAGGCTGAGGCAAAAGGATCAGAGGGTTGATGCTGGTGGGGCTGTGAGCATGCCACAGCATTCCAGCCTGGGTGACAGAGTGAGACTTCAATGCAAAAAAAAAAAAAATTAGTAAAGTGGACCTACTACAAAAATTGTATGTAAAAATTAATTCCCCATAGGAAAATTGAACATAGGCATAAATGCCAAGTTATAACAATTAAATATTCCATTAACAATAGCAAAAAATAAATAAAATAAAATGCTCAGGAATAAAATTAAGTTACAAAATTATATCCTCTTGTTTGAAAATGAACATATCTGTATAAAACTAGAAGTAAAAATATCAAAATGTATGATACAAACATTTCTGATGAGCACCTTGAGAACTCACTAAGAATTGCAACAATTTCCATTGAACCAGACATTGACAGATTAGTTTTACAAAAACAAGGTCAAATTTCCCACTAGTTTTATTTGTCCTTATTTTTCTAAACTCTAAAATAAGTGAGCTAGCCAGGCTCGGTGGCTCAGCCTGTAATCTCACACTTTGGAAGGCTGAGGTGAGTGAATTGCCTGAGCCCACGGGTTCAAGACCCGTCTGGGCAACTTGGTGAGACCTCATCTCTACAATAAATCAAAAAATTAGCCGGGCGTGGTAACGCGTGCCTGTAGTTCCAGCTACTTGGAAGGCTGAGGCGGAAGGATCACCGGAGCCCAGCAGGTCGAAGCTGCGGTGGCTGGGAGCAGCACTCCAGTCTGGGCGACAAAGTGAGACTCCAACTCAAAAAAATAATAATAATAAGTGAGCTATGATCACACCACTGCATTCCAGCCTGGGCAACAGAGCAAGACCTTGTATCTTTTTTAAAAAAGAAAAAAGAAATATAATCAGTGTCTGTTCTGGGCAATTACATTATAAGTAATTTTTCTATTTTACTTGTCCTCGTCTACATTTCCAAGTTTTCTATAATTATATATTACTGTAGTAAAATAAAAAGTATCATTTGAAAATTCCAAAACATACTACCTCATGTATTTACATAGTCATTGATTATATTTTCTCAATAAATTGATTACATGCTCTCCTTTACAATAACCATCAGCCAGAAGAGCTTTAACATCTATCACATTTCAAAATGCATTTTTACTTTTCATTGATTTTAAATTTTCACATATAACCAGAAGATTAGCAGAAAGATTTCATTATAACCAACTTACACTAAATTTCAAAGAAGAAATACACCCCAAATAATCCAAATACACTTCACATTATATAAAAATCATGGTAAAAACTAAAAGCAGTTAAATGTAATGAATAATAACAGTAAGTTTAAGAACATGAACTTTGAAAACAAAAACTGGGGTAGACTTACACTAATTATAAAATAATAACAATAACTTAGAAAACTTATTTAATTCAAAGTACTTCTGCATTCAAAACAATGCTAACTGACAGAAATTAAAGATCTAAATAAGTAGAAAGACATCCCATGTTCATGGAGGAAAACTTAACATTGTTGGGATAGCATACTTCCTAAACTGATCTACATATAGATCCAATGCAATTGCTATTAAAACCCCAGCAGAGTCCTTTGCAGAAACTGACAAATTCATAACATTCATAATAAAATTCATAATAAATGCAAGAAACCCAGAATAGCCAAAACAATCTTGGGGAAAAAACATTGGAGGAGTTATACTTACTTACTCAAAACTTAATAAAAAGTTACAGTAATCAACACAATGTGCTACTTGCATAAGAACAGATACACAGATGAACAGAATAGAGTACAGAATAAACCCTTATATTTACAGTCAGTTGATTTTCAACAAGAGTGCCAAGACAATTCACTGGGGAAAGAAGAATCGTTTCAACAAATAGTGCTGGGGGAGGGGAGGGAAAGGGAGGGGGAAAGAAACAAATAGTGCTGGACAAACATATGGACTTCGCAGCAACTTGGATGAATTTAGAGTCTATAATACTCAGTGATACATCACAGAAACAAAGAACAGAGTACCACATGTTCTCACTTATAAGTGGACCCTGAACATTTACCATAATACTATCAGAAAGGGGTTGGTAGTAAAAGGATACTGCCGGAGTGGGCTGGGGGAGACATAACATCAATGATCTCAAACCAGGCAAAGTGGGAACCAAAAGGAGGCCCAAACTTTACCTGTACAATGTCCATTTGCATACCTGATCGTACCCCACATCTTTAAAATAAAACATAAAGACAAAAACAAAAAGAGCTGAGACAACTGAATATCTACACACAAAACAATGAAGATGGACCCCCTACCTCATGCCACATACAAAAATCAACTGAAAAGTGAATAAAGAATGGATCAAATATAAGCATTAAAACTATAAAACTTAGAAGACAACACAGGCACATAGACATAAGCTTTGTGACACTGGAGCCGGTAACAGTTTCTAAGATATGACACCAAAAGCACAAGCAGCAGCAAACACAAACAAAAAAAAGATAAATTGGATGATAAAAAAAATTAAACATTTATGTGCTTCAAAGAAAGAAAAAGAGACAATCCAGTGAATGAGAGAAAATTATTACAAATCATATATCTAGAACACCCATGTCCAATCCACTGCCCACATACAGCCCAGGACAGCTAGCAATGAACCCCCACAAAATCTTTTGGCGTCATTTGTTTTTTAGCGTTTATTTTCTTTTGATCCCATACGTAGTTCCATTTTTGAAGTTCACAATCACATCTTATTCGTGACATCATTTTTTGGCAGTACATACATTTGTGAACAGCTGCTTTCAGTAATGAAGCACACAAAGAACAAAATTTGAACAAACATTTCTGACAAGCACCTTGAGAATTCACTAAGAATTGGGACTACTTCCATCAAACCAGACATTGATAGATTAGTTTTACAAAAACAAGATCAAATTTCCCACTAGTTTTATATTGTTCTCATTTTTCCAAACATTACAATAAAAAACATAAAAAAGAAGTCTTATTATGTATATGTACTAAATATATTAAATAATCTATGTGTGGTCCAACACAATTTGTCTTTCCTAGATACAGACCAGGGAAGACAAAAGGTTGGATGCTCCAATCTAGAATAAGTGGAAAAAAAAATTCCTACAGTTAAATAATAAAAAGAAAACTAATCCAATTTAAAACAGGCAAAAAAAAAAAAAAAATGTGAATAGATATTTTTCCAAAGAAGATAGACAAATGGCCAGTAAGCACATGAAAAGAAACTCAACATCATGAGCTATCAGGTATGCAAGTAAAAACCACAAAGACAGAATTTCACACCCACTAGGGTTTAAAACAGTTATTACCAAAAAGACAGACAATGCAACACTATTCACAATAGCCAAAGGGTGGACACAACCCAAATGTCCATTAACAGATGAAAAAATAAAATAAATGTATTATATACATAAAAGTGAGTATAATTTAGCCTTTAAAAAGAATTAAATTCTGACACAATGTAACATGAACGAACCTTAAAGATACTATGCAGCCGGGCTTGGTGGCTCAGCCTGTAATCCCGCGCCTTTGGGAGGCTGAGGTGAGTGGATTACCTGAGCCCGCGGGTTCGAGACCCGCTTGGGCAGGAAGACCTCATCTCTACAATAAATCAAAGAATCAGCCGGGCGTGGTAGCGCATGCCTCTAATTCCAGCTACTCGGAAGGCTGAGGCGGAAGGATCGCTGGAGCCCAGCAGGTCGAGGCTGCGGTGGCCGGGAGCGGCCACTGCACTCCAGTCTGGGCGACAGAGTGAGACTCCAAATCAAAAAAAAAAAAAAAAAAAAAAAGATACTATGCTACGTGAAGTAAGGACAAATACTGTAGGACTCTACTTATACAAGGTACCTAAAATAGGCACATTTATAGAGGCAGAAAGTGCAGTTACCAGGATTGAGAGGAATGGAAAAAAAAAAAGATTTCTAGTTATTGTGTACAGAGTTTCAATTTGTGATGATCAAAAACTTCTGGAGGCAGATGGTGGTGACAGTTACACAACAACATGAATGTACTTAAAGCCACTGAACTACATGCTAAGAAATGGTTAAAATGGTTGTTTTATGTAATGTATATTTTACCACAATTTTAAAAAGACAAACAACAACAGTGAGGATGTGTAAAAATTGGAACCCTCAGACACTTCTGAAGATACTGTAGAATGGTGTAGTTGGTTTTGGAAAACAGTTTGGCAATTTCTCAAAAAAGTTAAACAAGCAGTTACAATGTGACACAGCAATTCCACTCCTAGCTTATGCACCCCAAAGAAATGAAAACATTCATCCACACAAAAACATGCACACAAATATCCATAGAAGCATTTTAATTATAGCAAAAAGAGAGAACCAACCCAAATGTTCATCACCTGGTGGCTGGAAAAGAAGATGTATATACAACAGAATATTATTTGGCAATAAAAAGGAATCTATCTGGTAGATTCCTTTTTTAAAAAAATAATATTCTGTTTAAAAAAATACAATTCCATTTCTATTTAATGTCTAGAACAGGCAAATTTATAAAGACCGAAAGGTTATCAGTGGTTGCCTAGGACAAGTGTGGGAAAGAACAGAGGGGCCATGAGTGGGAGGTAGCAACTGGATACAATTTCTTTGTAGGATGAGAGAATTCTAAAACTGGTTGTGGTGATAGCTGCACAACTCTGAATGTGCTAGAAGCCCTGAAATATACACTTTAAATGGGTGAATTGGACAATATGCTCATTATATCTCAACAAAGCTGCTACCAAAAAACTAACTATGAAGTAAGTAACTTGAAAAATATGAAGTAACTCAGAGTATTTACTAGAAAAAAAAAATCCCAGCACTTTGGGAGGCCGAGGTAAGAGGATTGCCTGAGCCTGCGGGTTTGAGACCAGCCTGGGCAACATGTTGAGACCTCATCTCTACAATGAATCAAAAAATTAGGCCAGGCTTGGTGGCTCAGACTGTAATCCCATTACTTTAGGAGGCTGAGGCAAGTGGATTGGCTGAGTTCACAGGTTCAAGACCAGCCCAGGCACCTTGTCAAGACTTGACTGGTCTCTACAATAAAATCAAAAAATTAGCTGGGTATGGTAGTGCACACCTTGTAGTTCTGGCTACTTGGAAGGCTGAGGCGGAAGGATCACTGAAGCCCAGTAGGTCAATGATGGGGTAGCCATGAGTGTGCCAGTGCAGCAGAATGAAACTCCAACTCAAAAAAAAAAAAACTAGCCGAGCATAATAGTGCATGCCTGTAGTTCTGGTTACTTGGAAGGCTGAGGTGGATGAATCGCCAGAGCCCAGCAGGTCAACACTGGGGTGGCCATGAACATGCCTCTGCACTCCAGCCTGGGCAACAGAGTAAGACTCCAACTCAAAAAAATTAAGATAAAAATAAATCAATGATGATCTGGGGAGATTTCTTTATTATAAATTTTGTAATTATAAACATAACTCCTATATCAACTTACAGATATTCTTTTCAGCCCCTATACTCTTATGTAGAAAAAGTTTCCCATCTCTGCTCACCTTGGTCAAAGGAGAAGTCTTCTGTGGTGAATTCTGAGTCACATTCTCATCAGGACTTAATCCCACTGCAGTACTAGTTCTTGGAGTAGGACGAGAACTGAAAAATACACATCAGTTAAAATTATTCCGATTTCAAAAACTTTATCCTCTCTTTACTGTTCTCTAGGAGGGAAAAAGTCTCATAAAAAATGGTATTAAGCTGGGCTCGGTGGCTCAGCCTGTAATCCCACGCCTTTGGGAGGTTGAGGTGAGTGGATTGCCCAAGCCCGTGGGTTCAAGACCCACCTGGGCAGCGAGACCTCATCTCTACAATAAAATCAAAAAATCTGCCAGGCGTGGCAGCGCACACCTGTATCCAGCTACTTGGAAGGCTGAGGCGGAAGGATCGCCAGAACCCAGCAGGTCAAGGCTGCAGTGGCCGGGTGCTATTAATTTCCTAGTTAACTTATTATTCCTTCTATGTATAGCTCCTGTACTATATACAGTATTTTCTTTTTTAACTAGAAACCTTCAAACATTGATTTTAATAGTTTTTAAATGGCTGCTAGTATAAGCAGGGTTAACATAATAAAAATAGATCAGACATTCTACAAAAAATGAAAAATATTTATAGTTTTATATCAGAAAGTATTTGAAATAGAAAATTACCTTGGGGGCACACCACATCAACAAGGGTACCTGAATAGTGAACATTTTATACCTAACCCCACATATTTAAAATAAAAAAATTAAAATCAAAAAATAAATAACAGGCACAGAGATTAAAAACAACTAATAATAAAATAGAATTATAACAAAAAAAAAAGCTGGCACAAAAAGCCTAGAATGCTTTTAAGGACATTAGTAGAAAACAGAATCAAGACCACCAGCATGTTGGTCAGGAAGTTTATTTATAAACAACATCAGTCTCTAGATCACAGAAAATGTGGGCCGTTTTTTCTGCTTTCCTTGATCAATTTAGATCTCATAGAAGTGGCCAGTCATTTATGTATTTTTTTTCTTTCTCTCCATCCACGAGTAGAGGCATACCAATAGCGTGGTCCTAGGTCTGTTACTTATCCAGAAGTTAATATATTTTTGTTTAGAGAGAACTACATTTTCCCCATTACTCACAGCAATGGTTAGGTACCTATTTAAGTAACATGTTATAATTGTATAACTTTATAATTATATAAAATAGTTCTAATCTATTTTTATGATTCCTTCTACAAATATAAATATCCGCCACACCTAGGTTTCTGGTGTTGAGTTTTTCACTTTTTTTTTTGTTTGTTTTTTCTGAGTTGAAGTCTCACTCTGCTGCCCAGACTGGAGTGCAGTGGCACGCTCCCAGCCACCGCAGCCTCAACCTGCTGGGTTCCGCGATCCTTCCGCCTCAGCCTTCCAAGTAGCCAGAACTACAGGTGAGCGCTACCACGCCTGGCTAGAGAGGAGGTCTTGCCAAGTTGCCCAGGCTGGTCTCAAACCCGCAGGCTCAGGCAATCTACTCACCTCGGCCTCCCAAAGTGCTGGGATTACAGGCTGAGCCACCGAGCCCAGTCGAGTTTTTCACATTTTAAGAAATCCTTTCCCTCAAATAATTAGTTTTTTTAAATTATTTCCTTCAAAATACCTAAAGATAGGCCGGGTTCCGTGGCTCAGCCTGTGATCCCAGCACTTTAGGAGGCTGCGGTGAGTGGATTGCCTGAACCCGCAGGTTCGAGACCAGCCTGGGCAACTTGACGAGATCTCATCTCTACAATAAAATAAAAAATAACCAGGCGTGGTAGTGCATGTCTGTGGTTCTGGCTACTTGGAAGGCTGAGGTGGAAGGATCATCAGAGCCCAGCAGGTCGATGCTGGGGTGGCCATGAGCATGGGTGCCACTGCAATCCAGCCTGGGCAAAGGAGTGAGACTCCAACTCAAAAAAAAAAAAAAAATACCCAAAGATCAGGATTTTCACCTCTCATTCACTTATCTGTTGATTCTTTCATTAAACAAGTACATATAGAGCAATAAACTATACTATGCCAGAAAATCTGTGGGGTTCTAAAAAGCTAAATTTAAAATGTCTAAAATGTATATAGATAAATTAAACATAACTTACATTTAAATATGGGTAAAACAAATCAGGAAATTTTAGTTTGTCATTATAATCCCTACCTCATGAAATAAAACTATTTCTCCATGAGAAAAAGTTGAAAATACATTTAATATTTACATACTATTAAAATTTTAATACACTGATCTTAATAATTACTTTAAGATATTACTCTGGGCTAGGCACAGTGGCTCACGCCTATAATCCCAGCACACTGGGAGGCCGAGGTGAGAGAACTGTCTGAGTCCACAGTTCAAGACCAGCCTAGGCAACTTGGTGAGACCTCATCTTCACAATAAATAAAAAAAATTAGCCTTCCAGCTACTTGGAAGGCTGAGGCAGAAGGATCACCTGAGTCCAGCAGGTCGAGGCCACAGTGGCTATGAGCGTGCCACTGCACTCCAGCCTGGGCGACAGAGTGAGACTCCAACTCAAAAAAAAAAAAAGATACCACTCTAATTTTTTAAATTTTTTCAATGATTACAAACATCATTTAAGCCTCACAAATAAATAAAAAATTAAAAACGCAACCTATTCTTTTCTATAAGACCTTATTAAATAAAGAAGTTGCACTTCTGAAATTTTAAATTCAATTCTATTTTAAGTTAAAGTACAAAATAATGAAGCTTTAACCCTTAAAAGAAAAAATAAGTTGGTTTGGTTAAAACTTTTCAAAAATACTGTACATAACAAAATCTACATTCACTGACCAGCACTTAACAATAACTAAAAATGGAGAGTAAAACTGGAATTTGGCATGCACATCCATGTCCCTTATCTCTGTGTAACATGATTTGTTTCCAGGACAACAAATACTTTATGAAGATTTAACTTTTTATTTCTCATTGACTCCTTATGACCTTTTCATTTTACATACCTGAGAAGAAACATGGATTCATTCAATTGGCCTCCAAGAGAACTCTTAGGTCGAAAATCAGTTGGATTTTCTATGGCAGGAAAATAACATATTATCCATAAAGGAACAAAAGTATCATAAGCAGGACACAACACAGGCAGAGATTTAAAGAAAGAGATGGCCAGGTTTGGTGGCTCAGCCGGTAATCCTTTGGGAGGCCAAGGGAAGTGGAGTGCCTGGGCCCGCGAGCCTGGGCAACTTGGCAAAACCTCGGCTCTACAATAAATTTAAAAAAAAAAAAAAAAAAAAAAAGCCAGGCATGGTCGCCTGCACCTGTAGTTCCAGCTACTTGGAAGACTCAGGTGGAAGGATCACCGGGGCCTAGCAAGTAAATGCTGGGGTGGCCTTGAGTATGCCACTGCACTCCAGTCTGGGCAACGGAGGAAGACTCTGACTCAAAAAAAAAGAGAGAGAGAAAGATAACACTGAAATTAGGATCCCCCTGAAATAATATTCTAAGCAGCATGAATGTGCTCAAAAGAAAGCTTACCTAGTCTGAAAGAGTGACTTAGCCATTGACCACTCTTCAATCCTTTTGCTTGCCCACTCTGAGGGTTCTGCAAAAGTTCCTTAGAATCTTGTGGCCCAGAACACTCCATCATGTTTCTGCTATTCAGTGGAAGAAAGCCAACACAATCAAACTTACTTTGGAGCTCTCTATAGATTTTTGTGTAGAACAAGAGATTGGAAAAGATAATTAAATTACACATGACTTCTGGCAAAGTTACAGAATCTCCTAATTCTATGTCTCACTCATGCACACAGCCGCTAAAGGCTATCAGGAAATCCATGCTTATGGTAGCCACTCAAGATCCAGGCTGACAGCAACTCTATTTTGACATTTTTCTTCCCAATCTCATCAGAAAGATGAAATGTGGCAAATCACACAGTTGTTCTTAAAGTTTCTTCTAAGTTTACTGGAGTAAATGGCTCTTAAAGTTTCTATCCAGAAATAACACACAGCACTTCCATTCACATTTCATTAGCCAAAGCAAGTGACATCACCACATGTAACTTAAAAAGTTAAAAAAGGAGAAATAGGATCCTACCAATTACTTCAAAGGTGAGAAGCCAGATGTATTTGGTGAACAGAATTAATGACTATTATATAAATAATTGAGGAATAAATAATTGATCAGAAAATGAGCAAAATCAAGAACACAAAAATATTATGATTAAGCTCTTTTAAGCAACCCTTAATTAAACAAATGTGGGATATTCTTCTACTATGAAAGCACATAAGTTCAGATCACTAATTCTGCATAATTAAATAGTAAGGACCTGTATTTTAAAACGACTTTGTTGCCTCAAGTGTGGCTTGCAACATTTCAGAAGGAAAAATGAAACCTGTTTAAGAAAACAGATAAACAGAAACAAATGATGAAAATGAATGCTTTACTTGATGTTGATAACCCCACAATAAATTGTAGAAAAAATGTTTTAATTTTTTGAAAAAATAAAATAGTAAGGGCATGAATATATCCCATGCACAAAGATAAGTATATACTACCTGAAGCTGAAATCCACAGTGCCCGATTCCTGATCTTCTCGAGTGAAAGCATTCTTCCAAAATGAATGCTGCAGAAGGCCTGTCCACGTTAATCTTTATAAAACAAATGTCAAAACTCTATTTTAAAATGATTTACCATGGAGTATTCCCAAGACATGTTTCAATTACACATAATATCAGATTTTGCAATGTATACATATTTCCATACAAATGTCTCTGTGAAATTGTTTTATGTTTTATTATTTCCTTTTAGTGTGAAATTAACCTCTTTTAGACAAAAAATAAAATGTAATTCAGAAGGCTTAAATAGTATAAAATTAAACAGTCTGACAACTAAGTATCAGAAGTTTCAGAGTTCATATTCCATAGAGCCTGAGGAAAACAATTCGGGCTCACCAATCATCATATAAAGGGAGTCTACTAATAATCTGAAATTCTAAAGTAAATATATCAGAAATTATCAATCTATAATAATGTCATCCTAGAAGTCTCAACAGAGGCAAAATTATTTCACTTATCCTGATTGACAGATTTCAGTTCTGGGACTAAACTTTTAGAGCCTCACTCAGAAGTAAATAAGAATGTCAGCTTCATGGCTATATCCATTCATAGCTGTTTGGAATCAAAGTAATGTTACCTAGCTAGTTTACTCACATTAAAATGACTTTAGGCTATATCTAAAACCCAGACTCATTTTCAAAGTATTAAGCTTTACTACTAATAGAGTATACCTCAAGGTATATTCACCAGATTGGGAAAATTAAGCCTGACTGAAATTTCAAAACAAGAATTTATGTTTGATTAATGTAATTATTTAAAATTTCTGTATTAAGACAAATTACTTTAATCAAAAGTAAAACACAAATAATAGGGAAAAATTGCCATCACAGATAATATTCCTGTACACAAAAAGCTCTTATAGTTCACTAAAAGAGAAATAAAAATAGCCAGATTTATTTTTGAAAAGTTATTTGAAAAGCTATTTGTATATTAAGAACAGCACTATTTTAGAAGTATATAAAAGGATTTGTTTAATTCTGCTACTTATTCACATTAAAATGTCATTCCTACCTTTTCTGAGGATCTCTCTGAAGTAATCCATCAAGCAAATTAATAAAATCTGAAGAAGCTTTAGGAAGAGAAGAATCTATAAACAAATTAATTTCCAAAAAGAAAAAATGAAATAAGAAGATAAATACATAACACATCAACTTCATGTTTATATCCTACATCTACATTAAAAGTACTGTAATGGTATTTTAATCACATAAACTGTGTTTAAAAGAACACTGAATCAATCCATTAACAACAAGTACTGTCTCTATTTAACAGGGCAGGGTGGGGAGTTTCAGAACACACAATAAAAAAACTTTTTTTCCTATATCACAAAAAAGAAACATGAATTCCAAAAACTAAGTCTCAACTAACCTCTAAACTTTCTCTTTATTGAACAACTCCAGTAAGAATCACCAGTCTAACAAACTCATATACTTGTCTTCAACTATTAATGATTCCTTATTCCCTGAAGCATTACTAACTTGACCAACTTTGCATCATAATATACTATGATAATATATTATAAACTATAATGCAATCCTTTTGAGATTTTTAACAATAATAACTATCACAACATTATGATACTGTCCAATTCCATTAATTTCATATGTTTTATCCTTTTAAGTTAGAAATACACCATAGCCAGTTCATCAGCCTATGGTTAAAGTAGCAGCAATAAAGACAATGACCAAAGACAATAGTCAGGTCCCCTTGAGAAAAAGCAATCAAAATCAATAGCAATATCAAACACTGCGGCCACAGTCTGATGAAGATCCCTGTGAAATAATTAAGCTTGGACCACCAGGGAGTGATATGTTTTTTTTTCCAGTATTTTTTTTTAAAGATGTGGGGTACACTTCAGATTAGGTATAGGTCACCGTTCAGGTAAAATTTGGGCCTCCTTTTGGTCCCCACTTTGCCTGTGTTTGAGTGATATCTTTTTTTTTTTTTTCTTTGAGTTAGAGTCTCACTCTGTCACCCAGGCTGGAGTGCCGTGGCACACTCACAGCCACTCCAGCATTGACCTACTGGGCTCCGGCAATCCTTCCACTTCAGTCTTCCAAGTAGCTGGAACTACAGGCACGCAATGCCATGTCCAGCTAATTTTTTTTTTATTTATTGTAGAGACGAGGTCTTGCCAAGTTGCCCAGGTTGGTCTTGAACACGTGGACTCAGACAATCCACTCCCCTCAGCCTCCAAAGTGCTGGGATTACAGGCTTAGCCACTGAGTCCAGCCAAGTGATATCTTGATCAAACCCTTAACACCTTCATTTTCAGGTGTCGCTTCCTTTAACTTACAGGAGAATAAAGTAATTAATACTGTGAGTATTTAAAACAAAAAATCAGAACCATCATTACAGGAAATAGGAATGACTGATTTCTACAGAAAGACAAAGCAAATGAAAGCAAAAAAACCCACAGCTTTTAAGAAAGACAGACTATTTTTCAAAATATCAATATTATGTACCTAGGATGATTCTTGAAAAATTGAAAATATCTGGTATTCCTATTTCCTCCATTCATTACTTCTGAAAATCTTTTCTTTTAAAAATTCACCGCAGGTTGGGCACAATGGCTCATGCCTATACGCCCAGGGCTTTGGGAGGGTGAGGGTAGGAGAATCACTTGGAAGCCAGAAGTTCAAGACCAGTCTGGGCAACATAATGAGACCCCATCTCTACAAAAAAAAAAAAATTAAAAATTATCTGGATATGGTGGTGCACACCTGTAATTCTAGCTACTTGGGAGGCTGAGGCAGGACAACTGCTTGAGTCCATGAGTTCAAAGTTGCAATAAGCTATGAGTATGTCACTGTACTGTAGCCTGGCCAACAGAGCAAGACTCTGTCTCTAAAAATAAAAATAAAAACAACAACAGAAAAAGAGTTAATCTTAAGACAGATGAAAACAGAATTCTATAACAATTATTGTTATGAGTTTTTGTTGTTGTTGTTGTTTTTGTTGTTATTGTTGTTTTAGAGACAGGGTCTCACTCTATCTATCACTTAGGTTGGAATGCAGTGGCACAATCATAGCAAACTGCAGCCTCAGACTCCTAACCTCAAGTGATCCTCCTGCCTCAGCCTCCCAAGTAGCTGAGATTACAAGAATGTGCCACCATGCCCAACTTAGATTAACTTCTTTAATGTATACAGCAAAATATTGTACTATGTTTGTACCCTCTTTCATTTTTCTTTTCTTTCCTTAAAATTATTGCTAATGATAGATTGTTATATTACTCATAATTTATATGATTAAAATTCCAACACTTTTAAAATACTACAACTACATCTAGTTTTAAGGATTTTTAAAACTTTTAAGGGTCCTGGGTCAACAATGAAATCAAAACAGATATTAAAAAAAACCTGGAAACAAATGAAAATGAAGAAACATCTTACCAAAATCTTTGGGACGCCATGAAACCTGTAGTAAGAGGAGAATTTACATCCCTACAAAGGCACATGAAGAAAATGGAAGGATCACAAATTAATAGCCTAACAAGCCACCTAAGAAAGCTGGAAAAGCAAGACCATCAAAACCCTAATTTCAGCAGAAGAATCCAGATCACCAAAATAAAAGCCCAAATCCAGGACATAGAAGACAAAAAGATAATACAAAAAAAATCAATGAAACAAAAAGCTGGTTCTTCGAAAGGATAAACAAGATCGATGGTCCCCTAGCTAGACTGACCAAGAAAAAGAGAGAAAAAGCCCAAATAAACACAATCAGAAACACAAAAGATGAAGTCACATCTGACCCTGAAGAAATACAAAAGATCATTAGAGGCTACTACGTACACTTGTATGGAAACAAACTTGAAAACCTTAAGGAAATGGAGGACTTCCTGACATCACAAAACCTGCCTAGGTTGACACAAGAAGAAATTGAGACCCTAAATAGACCAATAACAATCAAGGAAATTGACTACATAATAAGAAAACTACCTACAAAAAAAGTCCAGGTCCAGATGGCTTTCCAGCAGAATTCTACAAGACATTTAAGGAGGAGCTGATACCAATCCCACTGAAGGTATTCCAGGTGATTGAGAAAGACAGAATTCTCCCCAAATCATTTTACGAAGCTAATATCACATTGATACCCAAGCCAGGTAAAGACCCAACAAAGAAAGAGAACTACAGGCCAATATCTTTGATGAACATAGATGCTAAAATTCTCAAAAAGATCCTAGCAAATCGGATTGAACAACACATCTCAAAAATCATCCATCATGACCAAGTAGGCTTCATCCCTGGGATGCAAGGCTGGTTCAACATTCGTAAAACCATAAATGTAATTAAATACATCAACAGATGTCAAGACAAAAACCACATGATTATATCATTAGATGCAGAAAAAGCTTTTGATAAAATCCAGCACCCCTTCTTGATAAAAACACTCAAACATCTAGGCATATGGAGAAAATACCTCAAAATAGTAAAAGCCATCTACAAGAAACCCATAGCCAGCATACTCCTAAATGGACAAAAATTGGAACCATTTCCCCTGAAAACTGGAACAAGACAAGGATGCCCACTCTCTCCCTTCCTGTTCAATATAGTATTGGAAGTCCTGACTAGAGCAATCAGAGAAGAGAAGGCAATCAGGGATATCCGAATAGGAAAAGAGGAAGTCAAGTTATCTCTCTTTGCAGATGACATGATCGTGTACCTTGAAAACCCAAGAGAATCTGTCAAAAACCTCCTTACACTGATAAAGGCCTTTGACAAAGTCTCAGGATATAAAATAAATGTGCAAAAGACAATCGCATTTCTTTACACCAATAATAAACAAACAGAAACCCAAATAAAAAGCATAATCCCATTCACAATTGCCACCAAAAAAAATGAAAATACCTTGGCATCTTCCTAACCAGAGATGTGAAAGACCTTTACAATGAAAACTACAAAACACTGCTCAAAGAAATCAAAGATGACACAAACAAGTGGAAAAATATCCAATGCTCATGGGTTGGGAGAATCAACATTGTAAAGATGTCCATCTTACCTAAGGCAATCTACAGATTCAATGCAATACCTATCAAATTACCAGCAACATTCTTCTCAGACCTAGAAAAAACAACACAGGAATTCATATGGAAACACAAACGACCAAGAATAGCCAGAACAATCCTCAGCAAAAAAAACAAAGCAGGCAGTATCACATTACCAGACTTCAAACTTTACTATAAAGCTACATCAATACAGCTTGGTACTGGTATAGAAACAGACATATAGATCAATGGAATAGAATTGAGATTCCAGAAGTGAAACCTCAATTTCCCAACCAACTCATCTTCGACAAAGCCTCCACCACCTACCACTGGGGAGAGGAGAACCTATTCAGTAAATGGTGCTGGGAAAATTGGCTGACCACATGCAGAAGATTGAAACAGGACCCCTATCTATCCCCATACACAAAAATTAACTCCAAATGGATCAGAGACCTAAATGTAAAACCTCAAACCATAAGAACCTTAGAAAATGAAGGACATACCCTCATAGAAATCGGAACTGGCATCCAATTCCTGAACAAAACCCAAAACCCAGAGGCCATAAGAGATAAGATAGACAAGTGGGACCTCATTAAACTGACACGCTTCTGCAAAGCCAAAGAAACCATCAAGAGAGCAGGGAAACAGCCTACAGACTGGGAAAAAGTATTTGCCAACTCCAGGTCTAACAAAGGCTTAACATCTTGGATCTACAAGGAACTCAAACGTGCTAAAAAGAAAAAAACAAACAACCCCATTATAAAATGGGCAAAAGATATGGACAGACACTTCACAAAGGAAGACCTCACTAATCATCAGGGAGATGCAAATCAAAACCACACTAAGATACCACCTAACTCCAGTCAGAATGGCCATGATCAATAACAAAAAATAACAGTTGCTGGAGAGGGTGTGGCGAAAAGGGAACACTTCTACACTGTTGGTGGGAGCGCAAACTAGTGCAACCTCTGTGGAAAGCAGTGTGGCGATTCCTAAAATCTTTAAATATCGACCTCCCATATGACTCTGCAATCCCCCTACTGGGAATATACCCTGAAGAACTCAAATCACTTTATCAAAAAGATACCTGCACACAAATGTTTATCACAGCATTGTTCACAATAGCAAGAACCTGGAACCAACCATGCTGTCCATCAAAAGAGGACTGGATTAAGAAAATGTAGTACATATACACAATGGAATACTATGCAGCCATAAAAAAGAACAAAATCATGAATTTCGCAGCAACCTGGATGGAACTAGAGTCAATAATACTGAGTGATCTCTCACAGAAACAAAGATCTGAGTATCACACATTCTCACTCATATATTGGACCTTGAACATCCACCGTAATACAAAAAAAAAGACTGACAGTGGTGGGAAACTATGGGGGGGGAAGGGAGGTAGGATTCATGGTAGTCAATATCTGTCTGGGAACGGGGAGGTAGTGCATGCCTGTAATTCCAGCTACCTTATCATAAGGGTGCCTGAACGAAGGGGAGGGCAGGGGAGAGAAGGGTGCTGCACACCTGCAGTCCCAGCTACTTAGGTGGCTGAGGCAGAAGAATCACCTGAGCCCAAAAGGCCAGGCTACAGTGAGCTGTGATCATGCCACTGCACTCTAGTCTGAGCAACACAGTGATACCCTGACTCAAAAAAAAAAAAACTAAAACTAAAAGGGAGACTATTAGCTATTAGCTGTATTTTGTTTTCCATTCCAATACCTTTTAAACATGAGAAAGAAAATGCTACACTTCTAAAACTATCAATTTGAGACCATTTATAAAATATAACTCTTGGGGTCAGTTATGAATCAATTTTAAAAAGCCTTTGGATAAAAGGCACACCTTTAATCAATGAAAAATGTAAATTACCTCCATTTATCATAAGAAATCTTACCTTTTGGAATAGGTGGCAATGGATCTTCATATAAGATCTTTTGAGTTAATTCTGGAAGACTTTCTGAGAAGAATGGAGGTTTTCCTGAAATCACATGAAAACTTGCAAAATTAAATAACAGTTTTCTATCACCAATAATTCTAAACTAATCTCAACTACAGATATTTCAGGATTACACAATTTACAGAAAAATTATATAGGCAATTACTGAATGCCTAGTAAGTACAAGGCACTGTATATATATTTTTTCATAATTCTCTAATTCAAAATGTATATCCTAACAAATTCACAAATTCACATACAGACCACTCCTGTGATCCAAGGGTTGCATGAGCCATTCAACACATCTGAATAATTGATAGTCAAAAGGTCCCTTTAAGCCGGGCTCGGTGGCTCAGCCTGTAATCCCGCACCTTTGGGAGGCTGAGGTGACTGGATTGCCTGAGCCTGAGGGTTCGAGACCCGCCTGGGCAGGCGAGACCTCATCTCTACACTAAATCAAAAAATTAGCCAGGCGTGGTAGTGCGTGCCTGTAATTCCAGCTACTTGGAAGGCTGAGCCAGAAGGATCGCCGGAGCCCAGCAGGTCAAGGCTGCGGTGGCCGGGAGCGGCCACTGCACTCCAGTCTGGGCGACAGAGTGAGACTCCAACTCAAAAAAAAAAGGTCCCTTTAATACAAATTTCTAATAATCATATTTTTTTACTAGTTAGGCACATTTCAACATTCTAGATGATTATCATGAAAAACTACCCATGTGTCAAAAAGTTCCTAAGAATCTGCATATGCCTAAATCACTAAGCAATTCAATCAAAAATTCAGTATGTATAATGTAATAAAACCAGCTTTTTAAAAACACCTTATAGGTAAAATATCTGCAAACTACAGACTTAACCTGGTTTTGTTTGTTTTAATCTAGCTCTGATTTTATACTGATAATCACCTGAAAACATTTCATACAGCAGACAGCCCAAAGACCAGAGGTCACTCGTGATGGAAAAGTCAGTACCCCTCACAATTTCTGGTGCTGTGTATATAGGTGATCCTAAAAGCAAAGTGTAAAGAATAACTGTTAGACATCTGCAATGCAAACCTTCCCTGCAGAGATCTGGTAAGATGAAAAACAGCAGGAAGAAAATATACACATGAATAAAACTTTATGTGTGTTTCATATTTGTAAATGTCTTCTAATTCTAAGATTATATTTTACAAAGGATATGTATAAATATAGATTTTGAAAAACCACCTGAGAGAGAGAGGCAGCACATTTAGTTACATTCTTATTTTTAATTAACAATTTGAATAGTCAAAAGAAAAGACCCTTCTACTACACTGTTTCAATTAGAATAGCTCGAGTTGCCAGCTTGGTGGCTCAGCCTGTAACCCCCGCTTTGGGAGGCTGAGGTGAGTGGATTGCCTGAACCCGGGGGTTCGAGACCCACCTGGGCAACTTGGCGAGACTTCATTTCTACAATAAATCAAAAATTAGCCGGGTGTGGTAGCACGCGCCTGTAGTTCCAGCTACTTGGAAGACTGAGGCGGAAGGATTGCCAGAGCCCAGCAGGTAGAACCTGTGGTGGCCGGGAGTGGCCACTGCACCCCAGTCTGGGTGACAGTGAGACTCCAAATCAAAAAAAAAAATAGCTCGAGTGAAGTTGCAGTAACAACCCCAAAATCCCACTGGCTTAGCCAAGGTTTATTTATAACTCAAACATGTCCATCAAAAATCAGAAAAGGGGCTCTGATTCTCACAGTTATTCACAGAGCCAGGCTGACAAAGGCTCCATCTCAACTCATGCTTCCTGGATCACAAGGCAGGCAGAAAGAATGTAACAAATTGAATACTGGCTCCCAAAATTCCCACCTTAAAGTAAATCACATCACTTCTGATCATACTTGGTTGGCTTTGGCCAGAGGGAAATGCAATTCTACCAACTATCCAGAGAGAGAAAAGGAAATATTTAGTGTCCCACATATACTATTAAGTTTAGTATTACACAGAAATCCCATACTTTAGAGCCAGAAAACTCCCTTATTCACTGAGTTGAGAAACTGCAGCTTGGAGGGGCCCTTAGCGTTTTACGAGTCACACAGCAGGGCAATTGCAGAGCACTCGCCAAAACAAAGGGTCCTAGACTCTCCCTGGTGCACATTCCTTCCACTATTCCACCTCCTAGTGAGAATCCTGTCTCCATGAAGGAAATATTCACAATGACTTGGAATCAAGTTTCCCCTGAAGTAAACCTTCCGCAAATCATATCTCAAGGGCTCATTGCAGCCAAACAAGCAGCCTCGTAGTGTCCCGATGCATGGCTGAAAAGTTCTCCTATGGATCATGTTTGCTGTGCTATCACTTTTCACACACACATACATTTGTTCAGCAAAACATCACAGAGGGCCCACTGCCTGCACCAGATGCTGAGGAAACAAAGACAAAGAAGGCCCATCGGGTGCTCTGGCACCCTGTCCAATGTGTGATAGGCGCTTCGTTAATATCTGTTGAATATGAATGTCTGTTTTCTCATCCATATTTCCAGTGCCTTAAACATGCCTAAATTTTTGTCAGATTAATAAATAAATGTGGAATTAACAAATAAATACAATAATGAACACAAGAATATAAAGTCCCTACATTCACAATCAAATGGAAAAAGACAAACACAGAAAATTTTATTACATAAGTTCAACAATAGATTTACACACACAACATTATAAAAATAATAGAAGAAAAGAACCAACACCTGAGTATTCAGTTCAGAAACAAAAGGATTGCTTGAAGCCTGTCCAACAGAGAGACCTTGTCTCAAAGAAAAGGGGCAGGTACAGCAGCTCATGTCTGAAATCCCAGCACTTTGGGAGGACCAGGCTTGAGCCCAGGAGTTCGAGATCAGCCTTGGACAACATAGTGAGACTCTACAAAAAAGAAATCAAAAAATTAGCCAGGCACGGTGGCACATGCCTGTAGTCCCAGTTACTCAAGAAGCTGAGATGGAAGGATTGCCAGAGCCCAGGAGATCAAGGTTGCAGTGAGCTGTGATGATGCCGCTGTACTCCAGCCTGGGCAACACAGACTCTAACTCCAAAAAAAAAAAAAAAAAAGTTTTTCGTCCAGTAAAATCCCATCACCCAGAGGGACAAGGAAGTAAGGGAGATTTCTTCAAGAAAGTTGAAGGCTGGGCTCGGTGGCTCAGCCTGTAATCCCGCGCTTTGGGAGCCTGAGGTGAGTGAATTGCCTGAGCCTGCAGATTCGAGACCCGCCTGGGCAACTTGGCGAGACCTCATCTCTACAATAAAATAAAATTTAAAAAAATTAGCCGGGCATGGTAGTGCGCGCCTGTAGTTCCAGCTACTTGGAAGGCTGAAGCGGAAGGATCGCCGGAGCCCAGCAGGTTGAGGCTGCGGTGGCTGGTAGCAGCCACTGCACTCCAGTCTGGGCAATAGAGTGAGACTCCAGCTCAAAAAAAAAAAAGAAAAGAAAAGAAAGCTGAAGCCAAGACAAAGAGAAAGCAAAAGAATAAGGGCACAGGTGCCAGCAGTCATGTGACATATGCAGGAGACTGTAAACAGTGTATTGCTGGAACAGAAGGACAACGGTGGGGGTAGAATGAGAACTGTCAGTCTGGGCCCTCCGAGAAGCAGACTCTAAAACAAGGATTTTATTACAGGAAACACATGTGAGAAAAGATGGGAAAAACCGGTCTGATCACAATGCATGGTGGACTCTCAGTAAAAAGAGAGAGAAAGAAACTTAAATGGAAGCATCCTTAGATAGATGCCATGTAGTCTAGGGTTCTGCAAGATAGAGATCCCTAACCCACGTCACCACCAGAATATCTCCCAGAAAGAGGCCTCCCTTAGTGTTCCCACCATGCTCCCCTGTTAGTTGGGGGCAGTTATGGTACATGTGGCCTCAGAGTAAGTGATGAATTTCCTCCTTGTGTAGCCAGAGACCACAGTCAATTGTACTCCCTGCAGTTGAAGGACGAGGCACATTCTCACAGCCTCCACAAGAGCAGAGAAGCAGTCAGGGATTAGGTCTGAGAACCACAACACTAACCTGCAGGGAGAGGATTCTAAACTTGAAAATAATTTCCTAAATCAGTCCAGACTTCCAGCTTCTCTCAGTCAACAACACTGAGTCAGAAGTGAGCCCAGGTCAACACAATCCTCACCATTCCCTCAAACGGGACCACTTCGTGTGGACATTAAGAGCCTTCTTCTTGAGTATGAAATCTTATAAGACTTTCCTGTCCTTAAATTTGGGTCCTTTGATCCAGTTTAACCCCCTAACTTTACACAGGAAATTAAAACTCTTAGAAGCTATGTGACATTATTCTTAAGGTTACAAAGATAAAAAGACAGAACTAGAATCCAGGTGAACTTATGAGAAGCTCTTTGTAATATTAACTTCATGCATGCCAACCGAAAACGCTCTCTTTTCACTCATCAGTATCTAACACCAGCATCAATGTTAACAGATTTCTGACAGTATATGCCACTACTGACCTATCATCAACCCCACCACAACATCCAACATTCACATAGGTCAAAAGGCAAGGTAGGTGTTTATTTCATGTGCCTTGTTCGTGGTCACACTTAGAATGAATCCTCAGAGCCTTCAGAAAAACAGAAATGTTTTTACATTTTACTCTTATCTTTATACCACAGGGACATGAAAGTGAGTTGCCTATAACATGGATGATCCCCAAAGGTCAGGACTGATACTGTCTTGCTGGTCACAAGAGTGTCTTCCACCTGTGACTAAAGAGGCTAACTTGCCCCACTCATGGAGACTGTTCTTGGATTAAGCTCAGAAGTAAGCATCACTGCTAGGACTTCTGACACACTTCTCTACAACACAGCCTTCTTCCCCTTACTAAATATGCTTTCCTGAAATATACCACCTTCCTGTTTTCCATAATAGCATCGCAAACAATAATTCAGAACTTAATATTCTACTAACATAGTTCATAATAGTCATTGTCATGGAATGCTGGTCATTCTATAGAATGCAATTTGGGGACATTAAGAGCCTTCTTCTTGGGTATGAAATCTTACTATACAAGGCTGGCCCTGAAAATTAAATTTCCTTGGTCATATTTATGAAGCCTACAATGAAGCTGTTGCTTTTTGTGCTCTTCCCTCATGCTTCTAATCCCTGGGCCACATAACTACAAAGTCCAAGGATGCTGCCCTCTCTTATAGTACCCTTTCCTTTCACTATCACACAACTTGGTGTGTATCATGGAGTGTTGATGGTCCAAAGTCTCAAGCACCTGAACATGGAACTTGAGAAGGAAAGATCTTTTTACCACTTCCCCCAAAAGGTATCACTTCAGATTCTCCCTTCAATTTTTAACACCCCCAACCTCATCTCACTGTCAAAACCACCTGCCAAAAATGCACCCCTAGAAATCTGCCTCAATTGCAGAATATCTACCACTCGATCATATTGAGGAAATATCTATTGGGCCACTAGTGTGTGCCAGGCTCTGTTCCTAGTGTTTAAACCTCTATCTTATGTGCTAATGAGTGGTCAGTAAAATACAAAGCCAAGGAAAAGACACAGGCTTTATTAGAGGTCATGCAGGCTTTGTTAAAGGTCTCCCACGTCTGACACAGTTAAGGCCATGGACAAAGCCATTCCTGTGTCTAGACTATGTCTCCTGGTCATTATTATTTGCAGTACATTATTTGACTGCCAAAACAAAAGATCCACATCATCTCCTAAACAGAACTTGGGTGGTCCCCAATTCTCCAGGTTCACAAACCTTTGACTCTATTTTTCATGCTTTTCTTCAGGACATTCTCCCCACTATCACCTCCTCCTTCTTCTGCTGCCACCAAAGCAAAGAACTCTTCCAAATTTTCACCTTCCACTTTTGCCAAGCAAAAATTGCTGAACTTCAATGTGCCAGGCCCTTCCAAGAGTATCTGTGAAGATTAAAAAATAAATATTTTCAGAAACAAATTCACCTTAGTTTGTACATACATCAGTACCTCTTATAGTTACTAAAGAACTTTTGACCATTGGCTTTCTTGATCCATCACAACTCAGAAAAATTAATGCTTACAATTTTTTTTAGAAAGAAACTCAAAAAACACATTTTAATAATAGAGTCAGCCGGGTTCAGTGGCTCAGCCTGTAATCCGCGCCTTTGGGAGGCTGAGGTGAGTGGATTGCCTGAGCCCGCGGGTTCGAGACCCGCCTGGGCAGCGAGACCTCATCTCTACAATAAATCAAAAAATCAGCTGGGCGTGGTAGCACATGCCTGTAATTCCGGCTACTCAGAAGGCTGAGGCGGAAGGATCGCCGGAGCCCAGCAGGTTGAGGCTGCGGTGGCCAGGAACGGCCACTGCACTCCAGTCTGGGCGACAGAGTGAGACCCCAAATCAAAAAAAAAAAAAAAAAAGTCAAAAATTAAATCGTACATTCCCAGATGTATACATAACCATAGAGGGAAACTTCAGGCTTTTGAGTAAGTTAAAGAACAATGTCTATAGAACAATCTACATTTGCCAACCCTGACAGCTGAAAAAGGATTTGAAAACCCACCTGCCCAAGTATGTGGTTTATTCAAGAAAGGAAGTATAATGTAGGGTTAAAACTAGGGTTCTGAAGTTAGAAATCTGGATTTTAGCCCCAGGTCCACCACTTACTTGCTGTCTGGCCCAGAATAATTTATTTAGCCCTTCTAATCCTCAGTCTGTTCACCTATAAAACAGGAAAAGTAATACCTAACTCTTCAGACTGTTGTAAAGATTCACTGAAGTTAATACATACAAAGGGCTTATGACAGTCACTGGCATGTGATAAGTGCTCAAGTCAGGTAATATAATCTCTGATTAGAAGGTATAAGTTGATTATTGGAAATGCCAGGAGCCAATGTTCTATTAATTTATTGTTTCCTCTAGAGTCATTAATAGTATTTCTGGGTCAGATGGCTTTGAGTTTTTTAAAGGGAATTTGATGTTAACCCTTAACTTCTAGTCACATATACTTCCTAAGAATGTCTGTTGGTCTACAACAGTAGCTTTTAAATTTATTTAAGCATCAGAATCCCCTGGAGGACTTATTAAAGTACAGACAACTAGTCACTACCTCCAAAGTTTCTGATTCAACAGGTCTGGGGTGGGGCTCATTTCTAACAAAACCCAAGTAAGGCTAATACTGCTGGACCAGGGAACCACTGACAAGGATCTTTGTTTTAAAGAGCCAGCTGGTAAATATTTAAGACTTTGCAAGCAATACATTCTTTGTCCTGATTACTCAACTCTACTGTTGTTACATAACAGAAGCCACCAATAACACATAAATGAAAGGGTACAGCTGTGTTCCAATAAAAGTTTATTCACAGAAACAGGAATCCTGTTCAACCTCTGCTAACCCCTGAGCACAGGTTCCATTACAAATCAGCCTGAATTCCTTAGATCATAACGGCCGATAACAAACATCATGAAACTATTCCTATACATATATTGGCAAACTACAGCCTCTGGGTCAAATCCCTGCCACTGCCTGTTTCTGTACAGCTATGAGCTAAGAGTAGTTTTTATCTTTCTAAAGAGTTTTTTGTTTTTAATCGAACAAAGAATAATTTTGACATGTGAAAATTATATGAAATTCACATTTCAGTGTACATAAATAAAGTTATTGAAATATAGCCACACCCATGCATTTACATGCTGTCTATAGCTACTTTCAGCACTACAATGACAGTTGAGTGGCTGCAGACTTCAGAGTATTTCAAACAAGAACATTTACTCATCAGACAGAGTTTTTATGGAGTTTTCTCTTTTAGATTTAATTAACTTCTCATACAGATGGCCTACAAAAATAAAATTAAAAGTGAAATATGTGACTTTTAATTTCATTGGAATACATTAAAGAAAAAGAAGTAAAAACTCAGACAAGTAGTATGTCCAGTTCCTAAGAGTATGTACTTATAAAGACAATAATAGGCTGGGCGCGGTGGCTCATGCCCATAATCTCAGCACTTTAGGAGGCCAAGGTGAGAGGATTGTTTGAGCCCAAGAGTTCAAGACCAGTCCAGGCAACACAATGAAACCTCAGCTCTACAAAAAATCAAAAAACTAGCCAGGTGTGGTGACCTGTAGTCCCAGCTACTCAGGAGGTGGAAGCAGGAGGATCCCTTGAGCCGAGGAGTGTGAGGTACAAATGAGCCATGATCGTGCCACTGCACTCTAGCCTGCATGACAGTGAGATCCTGACTCAGGAAAAAAAGAAAAATAAAAATCACTAATTGAGAACAACTGTGTATCAAAAAGTGTCCTAGAAACTTAGCCTAAATATGTAGTCCTCATAACCACCTTGAAAACATCCATCCCCATATCACAGATAAGGAAACTAAGGCAAAGAGAAGCAGGGTAACTTGTCCAGGATCACACAGTTTCTAAGTGTCAGCACTGATTGAACTCAGAAACTAAGCAGATTTCTATGACTCTGCTATACTGAAGCACATTTAGTTATGGATAATTCATTTTACCAGAAAAGAAAATATTTGATCCATAATATCAAAAATTGCACATATACTCATATAGTTAAGAATGTCTCTATCAAACTAAAATAATGGTTCATAACTGTGCACTATGATTTAAGAGCTGAAAGAACCTTATCTTAAAGACCTACCGGGTTCATCATTTACAGTATACCTTAACAGCAATAAGTAATTACTCAAAGAGTTCTGAAAAGAGAGAATTCACATTCAAAAAGCTCTTAAATAAGTAACTAAAATATAGTACCTTAGATATCTTTTATTTTTAAAAAGTTCACTTAAAGTTTATTTAAAAATAAAAACAGGCTGGGCTCAGTGGCTCAGCCTGTAATCCCAGCACTTTGAGAGACCGAGGTGAGAGGATTGCCTGAGCCCGCAGGTTCGAGACCAGCCTTGGCAACTTGGCGAGACCTCATCTCTACAATAAATCAAAATTTTATTTTGATTAATTTACAGGTGCAGTAGCACGCACCTGTAATTCCAGCTACTTGGAAGGCTGAGGCGGAAGGATAGCCGGAGCCCAGCAGGTCAACACTGGGGTGGGTGGCTGTGAGTGTGCCACTGCACTTCAGCCTGGGTAACAGAGCAAGAGTCCAACCCAAAAATAATAATAATAAAAATGCTTTTGAGAATGCACGCTAAATTGAGACAGAAGCAGTTAGGAAATCAAAAGTTCATAAATTACCTTCCTAGGAGAAATGTCACAAAAAAGAATGCCAAGTTTATGAAGATGATGTAATCCAGTAATCAGATCAATCCCAAATTCTCTCACAACATCTTCTGGGAGGCTTTCATCTTGAGCAATAACAGTTTCTAAGGAACCACCTGCAAGAAGTTAATTAAAATCACCCATTTCAACCCACCAACATCACCAACTACCTCTGAGAGGTTCTATGCTTGCAGACACTGAGCATTAAAAAATGATCAAGACAGTAAACCCTGACAGTTTGGCAAGTGAAACACACATGGAGTGAACACAGTGGCCCAAGCACACAAGTCTATGACCAAGTTCCCAGACAGCTCCAGAAAAGCACCTGCTTGCTATGGAAGAATGGTGAGAAGAAAGCAGGTGAAATGAAAGGATAATCACCCCAGATTCCTCAGAAAATGAATAGCTGCAAAAACTAATGTTAAATACTAGCCCAAAATTGTGCATTTAAATAACATTATATGAAGTAGTCTTGTTTACTCATGTGCAGTCAGGTCACATTCTGCAATGTACTACGTGACAAAAATGACATTGCCTTTCCTTGGCTGTTAATCACACTCTTAGTGTGCACCACTGACGAAATAAAAGGCCAAAGGCAGGCACACTGTGAATTCCATTGCTATATTCTTCGAAGGTCCCAGTTACATCTCTACCATCTAAGTGCTAGAAACAAACTTTTTTTAATGGGTCAGGATTACAACAGTCAAGTTCAGAAAAAGCAGTCTTTGCTGGCAACTGAAAGTTTAATAAGAATTACCGTAATAAAAGTAAGATGTATTGGGGGTTTTGTTTATTTATTTTGGTGGTGAAAAACCATTATGGGGGGGACCCAAAGAAACAGAATGTATTTATTAAAATTATATATTTACTCTCACATGTTTAAATTTCGGTCACCTTCAAAGTACTCCCCATTTGATGCAATACACCTATCAAGACGCTTTTTTCACTGCTCAAAACAGTTTTTGAACTCATCAATTTTGATGCCTTTTAGTGTTTCTGCCATTTTTGTTTACCTCTTCCCCATCACAAAACGTTTCCCTTTGAGGACATTTTTCATTGGGGAAACAACAACAAAAAAAAGTCATTCAGGAAAAGATCAGGTGAATAGGGAGGGTGGGAAAGGGGTCATGCCATTTTTGGTCAAAAACTGCTGAACACTCAAGTGCAGAGTGGGCAGGTGCACTCATAAGCTACCCATCATGAAATGGGCAAATGCACTGAAAGAATCTCAAAAAAAAAAAAAAAAAATTCACTGAAGCCGAATGCAGCCTCTCACAACAACACTAGCTGGTACACTGATGCCTATGGGTTCCTAGAACACGTTACCTAGCAGGGGAAACCTGTACTACAAGCGGCCTGTCCTCTAAAAAATAATTCTGGGTCACCCTTGTACAATCACAGACATACTTAGAGTTAGGATATTACACCTGGTCAGAGGACAAAAACAACAGCTGAATTCAGCGAAAAGTAATGCTAGGAGTATCCCCTGATAACCCTGTCAGTATATACATCTATGGAAGTAATCCAACCATAATTAATGTATTAACCTATTAATTTAGAAAAATACAAATAAGTTATTAATTCAAATTAATTCTTTTATAATTAAGTTTTATTATTCTAAGTGCCAATACAACAGGTTAGATTCAAAGCTAATAATAATTACAATATCTCTTAATATTTACTCATCCTTTATTATTACTCAATGTATAAATAGAAGTTAACTAATAATATTTTTCTCCTGTTAAATTTTTTAAATGTTGAAACTAAAAGCCCAGATATCTATGTAGTTAGTCACTGTTCTTCCTGTATATAGTTCCAGAAAGTTGTATGAAGCAACAGCTATAACTTGTTACAACAAATTATTTGTTGATTCATCTTTGTACTTGTCCACATTGCTAAAAATTTTATAAAGTGCAAGTATCCTTTTCATACAAACAAAAAGATAATCACTCTAAATGTATTACCTAACCAACAGTTCAAAAACCTAAAATGTTTGTTTTTATTTCTTGAAAAATTGTGTTTGATTATTAATCATCACTTTAAAATATTTCTAAATTTTTATGCAGGTGATTTAATAATATACTAAAGTCAACCCCAGATTGAATTTTACATAAATCCTTCCTTTTACAAAACATCTTAGCACTTTACCCTTCCCTAATATCTATTAGGCAATATATTTTCAAATTAACATAATAAAAAATATCAACAACTACTTATATTTGCAATAGAAGATAAAAGGATAATAACTTTTTTTCAATACAACATTCATAGCACTTCATACACAATCTTTCTCACCTGTGCAGAGTTCCACTACTAGCCAGAGATGATTGCTGGTTTCATACCATTCATGAAAAGTTACAATATTCTTGTGTTTAATTTCATGGGTGAGACGAACCTATAAAAACACAGCATATTTACTCTGAAATAAATTCTTAAAACCCTTGCATCTACTGAAAAACATCTGAATGCACAACTGGTGAGTGAATTAGAAAATGGTGGAATGTATGTGGCAGAATTCTATACAGACATTAGAATGATGGTTATGAAGGCTGGTTACCTGGAAAAATGCTAACTTAATGTATGACCTTAAAAATTATTTTTTAAAAAACTTGTCAAATACCACTTTCGTATATTTGTGTAAATACAAATTGCAAAATAATTATTTATAGGAAAACGGCCAGAAGGTATTCACCAAAATAGCTGCTGTTATTGGTGGAAACTACTGATACTTAATTCCACTTTTTTCCTGTTTTCTATTTTTTATACTAATACACACTACTTTTATAATTAAGAAAAAAGATTTAATTTTAAAGAAAAACTCCTTTCTAAGCAAAAATAACCTAAATGCTCAATAGCACAATAACAGTTAACTAAGTTGCATTATCAATTGACAAAATACTAAGTCAACACTAAAATATTTATATAATTTTACAACACAGAAAATAACAGTATCATAATGCATAATGTATCAAATGACAGTATCATAATGAAAAAGGCAAGAAAAAAATTATACCATGATTAACACATAAACTCAGGGAAAAGCAAAACTAGAAGGGAAGAAACCAAAACATGAATGGTAATTATCTTAAGATGATAAGACAATAGTCCTTTCTTTCTTCTATTTATTTTTCCATATTGTCCAAGTTTCTACAATAAAATTGTATTTTTAAAAAACTCTCAGAAGGATTCTACAATCTTCTTCTTAAAAATATTCTTCCAAGTGTGGTGGATCAAGCCTTTAATCCCAGCACCTTGGGAGACCAAGGCGAGAAAATTGCCTAAGCCCTGGGGTTCAATATTAGCCTGGGCTACAAAAAATCAAAAATTAGCCAGGCATGGTAGCACGTACCTGTAATTCCGGCTACTTGGAATGCTGAGGCGGACAGAAGCCAGAGCCCAGCAGGTTGAGGCTGGGGTGGCTGTGAGTGTGCCACTGCACTACAGCCTGGGCAACGGAGTGAGATTCTGACTCAAAAAAAAAAAATTATTATGATTCTGACTCAAAAAAAATTATTATGGCTTTTCTATTTTTTTTTTTCTTGGAGGATTTTGCATTCTCCCTTTAAAATTCCACTGAATATGGAAAAATAAAACCACAAAAATGCATGCATTAGTAGCAAACCATCAAGAACCAGAATTGCTTACAACTACCAGTGTTTTGGATCCTGTTCTAAAAAAAAAAAAAAGTTTAGTTGTATCCAAATTCCTCTTACACTTAACACAGGTTAATGAGCCCATGTACATAGAGCTTCCTATTTTAAAAATGGAACACTCTGGAAACAACTAGGTGGGCTTGTATCATAACATGATTAGAGGAAAATCGATCCACATAACTTAAAAGACAGATGAGGAGAAAACCAAATATCAAAATGACCAGGACAGAATTTAAGGAGCACCTTGTAAGAAGTTGCAAAACTATGAGGCCAACAGAGAATGAGGAGGACCACCTGGTGCACACTCTGAAGGATACTCACTGATTCAGGCATAAGAGGGGGAGGTTCTGATGAAAAATTCAGGAGGGCCTAGCACCTCCTCCCAGCACTCCCCATTATTCAACCTGTGCCCCATGCCTACTCTTCCAGATGCTGAGCCAGGGCCAAACTGCTTCTCAGTCTTGTCCTTCACCTTTACCTGAACCAACCATCCAGGTCACTCCGCAGACTTGCTCTGTTCAACATGGAAGCCACATGCCAGACAGAACTACTGAGCACTTGAAAAGCATTCCAAAAGAATGAAAAATATCTATTAATAGTTTTTACAATAACTACATGTTGAAGTGATCATACATTGTTTATATTGGGTTTTAAAAATATATTACCCAAGTAAAGTTCACCCATTTATTTTTCCTTCAAACAGGACCCCTATCTACCCCTATACAAAAAAATTAACTCTAAATGGACCAGAGACCTAAATGTAAAACCTCAAACCATAAGAACTTTAGAAAATGCAGGACACACCTTTATGGAAGTTGGAACTGGCATCCAATTCCTGAGCAAAACCTGAAATGCACAGGCCATAAGAGATAAGACAGACAAGTGGGACCTCATAAGAGCAAAACCTGAAATGCACAGGCCATAAGAGATAAGACTGACAAGAAACCATCAAGAGAGCAAGGAGACAGCCCACAGACTGGGAAAAAGTATTTGCCAACTCCATGTCTGACAAAGGCCTAACATCAAAGATCTACAAGGAACTCAAACGTGCTGAAAAGAAAAAAACAACCCCATTACAAAGTGGGCAAAAGAGATGAACAGACACTTCTCAAAAGACATACGAGAAGCCAACAGATACATGAGGAAATGTTCAACCTCACTAGTCATCAAGGAGATACAAATTAAAACTACACTGAAATACCACCTAACTCCAGTCAGAATGGCCATTATCAATAACTCAAAAAATAACAAATGCTAGAGAGGATGTGGCGAAAAGGGAACACCTCTACACTGGGAATATACCCTGAAGAACTCAAATCACTCTATAAAAAAGATACCTGCACATGTATGTTTATCGCAGCATTATTCACAATAGCAAGATCATGGAGCCAACCATGTTGCCCATCAAAAGAGGACTGGATTAAAAAATTGTGGTACATATATACAATGGAATATTACACAGCCATAAAAAAAGAACAAAATCATGAATTTTGCAGCAACCTGGATGGAATTAGAGTTTATAATACTGAGTGATCTCTCACAGAAACAAAGATCTGAGTATCACATGTTCTCACTCATAAGTGAACCTTGAACAATTACCGTAATACTATAAGAAAAGGATTGACAGTGGCGGGAAACTATGAGGGAGGCAGGGAGGGGAAGAGAGGTGGGATTAACAGTAGTCAATATCTATCTGGGGAAAGGAGAGCACACCTCATCAACAAGGGTACCTGCACAATGAATATTTGTATACCTAACCCTTAACTGTACCCCACAATTTTAAAATTTTAAAAAAATTTTTTAAAAAGAAATTTTTGCCAGAAGCTGCAACCCCTAAAGAGGCAAAATGGAGGTTACCCGAAAAGGGGAAAAACGCTGACGGGGAGCAGAGCCCCAGTGGGAAGCGGCCATGATGGAGGCAGAGCCCCATGGGTCCTATTGAAGGGCTCCTTTTGGCCTTAAAGGAATGCGTGCTCAGGCTTGAAAAACACTTCCCTTGATAAACAAAACAATTAGCTAGAATGTGCAAGGATGTGGAATTAGCAGTAAACCTATGTATGGAAATGTAAAAAAGGGCTCAACAGCAAAAATTTCCCCCCTGAAGGGACAAGGGAATGTTTTTAATACCCCTTTTCCCATGAAATTTTGCAACTTTTAGCTAAAAAAGGAAAAACAAGTACTTCCTCATACCCTTTATAAGTAACAACATTGACAGTTGTGATTGATGAGGAAGTGAGAAACTGAGACAAGAGTATCTCCAAAAAACAGGTGCTTTCGGGAAAAACAAGTCACAGACATGCCTTTTGATTTAAGAAATATTATAGTTTAATTAGAAAGAGGGTTAAAATTAAAGTAAGGATTAGAATTAAATAAATAACAGTTATAATTAAAAAATAAATGTTTATTATAGATGTAGGTATTAGTTAAATATAAGTAATAGAAGGAATAGAAAATAATTAAGTTTTAAGGTAAACTTAAAATTATACACACTTAATGTAGGTGTAAAATTAAATACATCTAGGATTAGAAGATTAATTTCATATATAAGTGTAGATTTAGACTTAAGTTCTGTTTAGAAATATAAAATGTAAAATAGGTGATAAGAAAATAGCAAGTAATATAGATAAGGCAATTAGAATTAAGAAAGTTAAATTTTTTTAAAAATAGAGTATTAAGAATTCGTAGTGGGTAAGATAAGGGTGGTTATATAAAAGAAAAAAACGAGTCAATATATTGCTGCTAAAAGTATATATAAGGGTAGAATTAAGAAAATAGATTAGTAAAGGAAAAGAAATAGAATAGCGAAGGGAAGAGATTCAGGTGGCCTAGAGGTCACAGGATATGGCTGATAAATTCTTGGCAGCTGGTATTTTGTTACACCACCAGGTAGCAGGCAGGAACAAAATGAAACTTGTAAAAGTCAACTTCCCCATAAACAAAAGAAAAAACATGATGTAAGCATTTAATGTGTAACATGGGATACATTTTGTGGGTAGAGGGGTCAATAAAAAAACTATATAAGCTTGTAAGAATTGAATAAAAATTGGCAGAGTCTTGAGCTCTCCCCAGGAAGAGGATTCCTGTCGTGTTCGTCTTTTCTTTTTCACCACTTCCCGATTCCCCCGTCTCAAGCCCTGACTCTCTCCTGGAGCTGGACTCTGGCAAATTTTAAATTATATTTGTAGCTCCCATTATACTTGTTGGATTTTTATAATAATTTATTAAAATACAAATAATTGTATAAAATATATAAATTATAAAATATATATAATATACATATGGGCTTATTAACCTATGTTAAGTGTATGTAGAATTTGGATGTGACAAATTATTTTATAATTTACATATTTATATAAAATAAAATTTATAAAATATATTATAATTATTTTTAAGAATAAACTTACTTCTACTAAATACCTCACTACCTCCAAGCTTTCTTTCACACATCCTATCTGTGACCACATGCACTCAATTTTCAGCTCACTCACACTAGCATTCCGATTCTGGTGAAATTCAACTCTCCACATACTTTGCACACACCCAAGTACCAGAAGCAGACACAAACCATGCTGACTGATCTACTTTAAACTTATGATCACAAATCTCAAATAACCCAAGACAATCTGCTCTTCAAGTGACTATGTATACCTTCTCTTTCCTCTAACCTCTAACAGTCTTCCATCTCCTACTCTCACCTTCTAACAGACAACTTGGCTTATTTCAGAGAAAATAGAACCAATTA